GACGCCAAGGACGAAGGCACCATCCGGGAGATCTGCCAGCGGCTCTTCAACACCCTGCAGCTGTAAGGGTCACACCTTCCTCACCCTCTTCCTCCTCACCTTCACCTTTCACCTTCTTCACCTTTCGCCTTCCTCACCCTCTTCCTCTTCACCTTCCTCACTCTCTTTCTTCTCATCCTCTTCCTTCTCACCTTTACCTTTCTCACTCTCACCTTCCTCACCCTCTTCCCCCTCACCCTCCTCTTCCTCTCTCGCAGGGACGAGGGCCGGGCCCAGGACAGCAGCCAGGTGCTGCTGGATGCCCCTATCCAGCTCTCCCAGATCACTGATGGATATGGTGAGCAGTTCCTGGGGGGACACCCCAGGCCCCACATGTCCCCCCCTCAGCTCCCGCCCTGCCCTCAGAGTGCCACTGGGGAGGATGGGCACGGGGCATTGCATGTGTCCGACCTTGGGGTTGGGGTCCCCCCTCCCCTCGCAGCTGCACCCCTCTTCCTCTGCCTGCCACCCACAGGGTGAGCCAAGGTGGAAGGAGAGGAGCCACCTTTGTTCCTCCCGTCCTGCTGCGAGGGGGAGCGGTCGTGCCTGATCCCAGGCAGCCGTTACGTCAGCACCTCGTGGAGCCTCCCTGGAGCACGTGCTCACCAACCCAACCATCTTCTTGCAGCGGACGCCAGCGTGGACCTGCTGCCGGGGCTGCTGCTGAAGAGAGGCCAGAGCTCGGTAAGCGGGGGCCGAGCTCTCATTCATAACCCAGCGAGCTCTGGTGGGAGGAACTGTCACGTGGGGCTGCAGGTGCCCTGCCCTGCTCCGGTCACCTCGCCCTCGGAGAGCTCCCGGGTCATGCAGCCGTCCTGCCTAGGGACACAGCTCCAGGGGTACTGCTCCTCCTTGTCATGGTCGCTATAATTCAGGAAACTCCTGATCTCAGTCTGGTAAAGAGGCTCAACAGGAGTTAACAACTCATTCGTTTGCCACGGCCAGTTTTGCTGTAGGTTGTTAAGGCGCTTCAGAGCGTGGTTGCTGCGGCGGCCGTGCGCCGAGTGCAGCTCCTCCGAGCTTGCCGAGCACCCCTGGCTTACCAGAGCAAAGCCTCTGACTGAGGAAGAAGGATGTCCCGGGATGACGCCTTGCCGTGCTCGATGAGAGATCACATCCTGGCCAGCGGTTAGGTGCTGGGATGTTAGCGGGGAGCTGCTGCAGGGAGGCTGTAAGGCCAGCTTTAGATCTGTCACCCTTTGAGAAACAAGCAGGAGCAGAGGAGCTTGGAAGCGGTTGCACTCCGTGACTGGAGGAAATCAGGGTATCTTTACCAGTGAAATGTGTGGCCGTTCAGGAGCAACCTGGCTCACCCTCCATGCTGAGTGTGCCAGCGTTTGGGTGCGAGTGAGGTGTCACTGTGCATCTGCAGAGCAAGGACGGCAGCAGCTGTATGGGGTTGCCTCTCTGCCAGAGCTCTCCCTTCCTGGAGTAGCATGTTGAGGACAAGAACCTCTCACTTGGAGGTTGAGACCTAACGTGATCCTGCACGTCCCAATGGGAGTCTGACGTGAATGCTGGCAGCTGTTGCTGGTTTTGGCACCGGAGTTGTTGCTGCTGGGTTCACTTTCTGGCTCTCGTGTCCACAGCTCAAAAAGGATCTTCAGAAAAATCAGAGGCAATTTAGAGAACAAGGCCTCTTCAGTTTTGGAGGATGAGTCTTACTGGGAGATTCAGGGAGCTTGGTACAGTTTACAGAGTGTCAGTCTGTAGGTACAGGGTCACAGCTCCAGTAACAAGATGCTCTTTAGCCTAACACGTAGGTCTGTAACATGCTGTGGTGGCTGCAGAGTTGCCCAGAAGTATCGTATCTGGGAGTGGTCTTGGTCAGCCACAAATATTTAACTTGATGCAGGAATAAGCTGGAGTGCTGAGCACCTGGCCAAGACCAGAGGCCAGGATAAAAGACTCGGCTCCTTCTTGCCTTCAGGGTTGATTAAATGCTTTTTGTCTCCTGTTGTGATTGATTCGCTGCATAAGCTGAGTTTGTTCCAAATGGGCTCGAGTTTAAGATGTTGGGAAGGGCAACACCTCATGGTCCAGGGTGTCATGGAGGAGGCACTGAGGTAGCAAGTTGCTGCTGTTGAAGTGACCTGGCAGACCCAGAAAACTGGGTGTATGTTAGGGTCAGCCAAGCCCTTTGCCTTACTGATGCAGATCTGTTGTGTCTGAGCAGCTGATTGAGGACTTCATTCCTGCACTGACTTCCTGGCCTGATTAGCTTCCTCAAAATGTCCTTGAATCTGTCCCAGTTCCCCTGTCCTACCTCCCTCCTGCCTTCCCTCCCTTCTTTCCAGGTGTGAGGGGTTGATTAATCTCTTTTCTCCTGGAGCCTGGGCTTTTGGGGCTTTTGCTGAAGATGCGCTCTCTTCTTTAAACTCTGTTTTATGCCCCAGGTGGTGAACGCCAAGAAACTGGAGAAGGCGGAAGCCAGGCTGAAAGCCAAGCAGGACAAGAGGATGGAGCGGGATTCCCTGAAGTCATCTGGCCCTCTGTGAGGATAGAGAGTGTCTTGAACATCCCCATCCTGTTCTGCTGAGCATGGCTGGGATCTGGCTGTAGCAGAGCTTTCCTGTTGAGCCCCCTTCTCTGTCTTCTGCCTGCCCTCAGGGTCCTTGAGGAGGCATCTGCCAGCCAAGCTGCCAGCAAGAAGGAGACTCGCATGGAGTCATCAGGCAAGAACAAGTCGTATGATGTGCGCATCGAGAACTTCGATGTGTCCTTCGGTGAGCGGTGAGTGCAGGCGGGGAGGTGGGGCAGATCCTGGCTGGGGCTGTGGACCGTGGGGGATTGAACCCGGATTGGAGAGTGGTTGTGATGTTACAGAGAGTGCGGGAAAGGTCAGAAAGCAAGGTGGGCACCTGCCCCTATTGGCTTTGGGCAGGAGAAGCCTCTTGTGGTTGCTTGGCTCCAGCATGGCTGAAGTACGCTGGGAGCAGGTTGCTGCCGGTGACCTGCCTCTCCGCAGGGCAGTCTGACCAGGTGCCTGCCTGTCCTCACACTTTAGTGTCCTGCTGGCGGGAGCAGACCTGAACCTGGCGTTTGGACGGCGCTACGGGCTGGTGGGCAGGAACGGACTGGGGAAGACCACGCTGCTGAAGATGATCGCCAGCCGGAGCCTGCGCATCCCCTCGCACATCAGCATCCTCCACGTGGAGCAGGAGGTGGCGGGGGACGAGACGCCGGCGCTGCAGAGCGTGCTGGAGTGTGACACCGCCCGTGAGAGCCTCCTGCGGGAGGAGAGGGACCTGACGGCCAAGGTTAATGGTGGCAGGTGAGGTGTTCCGCTGGCTTTATGGCCCTTCTGTGACCTCTTGAACTTGAGGTCTCATTCTGAGGTCTCTCCCTTCAAATGAAGGGTTCTGGCAGAGCTGGGCTGCATCTTGCCCACCTTAGTCCTAGCTGGGGAGATCAGCCTCCCCCCAGCACTGGTCAGTCCTCTGGTCTGGTCACGCACTCCTTTTTGTTCCCAGGGGAGAAGGGACAGAAGGTGCCAGGCTGTCAGAAATCTACGCAAAGCTGGAGGAGATTGAGGCGGACAAGGCCCCAGCAAGGTGAGAGACTGCTGTCTGTTGGCATGGTCAGAGCTGGGCAGTGGTTTGGAGCGTGGAAGGGTGACACTATGGCCCTGGGACCCAGCAGGTGGGGGACAGGGGGCTCTCCATACTGCTCTTATCTCTTCTGTCACACCCCTGCTGGGTTAGGGGTAGTTGAGCTTACCCCCAAAGCCTGAGGGATTCTTTCCAAATGACTTACACTGTTGCTGCTGCTCCTCTCAGACCTCTCCAGGTTCCTGGTGTCTGGAGAGTGTTTTTGTGAGTTGATGGTACTGACTTTTTCCCGGTCAAAGAGCTGAAATATTCTTGCAAGTCTCCTGGGACTTCATATGGCTGCTGTGCCTTGCTGGGTGCATTTCCCAGCCAAGTGCTGCTCTTGGGTGGGCAGGAAGTTTTCCTGCACTAGAATGGCTTTAAACCTCTTGGTGGCCATGGGTCCAAGACCTTAGACCGTGCTGTGCTGTTGGATGCCTTAGCTGGATTTCTGTTCTCTCCCCTTTTCCCCAGGGCATCCGTTATTCTTGCTGGGCTGGGCTTTAATGCAAAAATGCAACAACAGACAACCAAGTAAGTGTCCAAAGTCTGGGCATGGAGACAGAAATGGGTCTGGGGAGACGTTACTCCTAGCGAGCCCCCAGGTACTGCTGTGGCTGTAAGGGAGGGGAGCCCTGTGGGAGAGCGAGTCTCTGTTCCTGCCCATTTGACATGGTCTCCCTGGTGCCCTGGGGGTGCCAAGGCACCTGTCTGTGGGACCACAGATCTTGTGCTGTGCCCGAGAGCTCTGCAGGGACAAGCTGTCTGAGTGACAGCAATGCCAAGAGGGCTGCAGGGGAGCAGGGCACCTGGTGGGCAGACAAATGGGGAGCTGTCCTGTGTTAAAAAGTAACCCCCTCTCTGCAACCCCTTTTCTTCTCAGAGAGTTTTCTGGCGGCTGGAGAATGAGACTGGCCTTAGCCAGAGCCCTGTTTGCCAGGTTGGTGTCCAGGCCTTTGTGCTATGGGGTTAACCCTGCTTGCTGGTCATGCTGGAAGGTGCAGGGGTGCTGCTCGGGGAGGGGACCGTTAGAGACAGGGCAGCTCAAACGCGCTCCACGCCAACCCTCTGCTCTTTTTGCTTCTGATAGCCACATCTTTTTTATCCTAGGCCAGATCTCCTACTGCTGGATGGTAAGTCGATACCGCCGGGCCCGCCTGTGCCCTTGCTGGGGTGGGGAATGCGCTCTGGCCTTTAGCTGCCCGCTCAAAATAGCCCTGCGTGACGGGGCAGGGCTGGCAGCGCTCCCTGGCACGGCGGGCAGGTGCTGCAGGGAGCGGGCTCTG